GCAACTATTAAAATAAACTTTATTCAATACAGATTTTATTTGTTTTTTTCAATTCTTCTTCTTCCTTCGATGACAACAATGGATTTGTTTCGTTGTTGTTTTTTTCTGTCCTGTAGATACTCTTGAAACGAACTATGAAAAATCTTTCAAAGGTAAACATAACATACGCCCTTAACGACAAATGATTAAGAAGCGAAAGAAATCTATTTCGATTTATAATTGAGAAAAAAAAAATAATTTCATTTTTTTTAAATATTTTTTTCTATTAAGAAAATATTGATGAAATTTTTACTTCTTTATCCTTTATTCTACTTGATCTGTGGTTGAATGGAAGAACAACATTTCTATTTGTTAGATCGAATGAAATACTTTATTTTACAACGATAATTCTCCTTTAAGAAAAAAACATTCTCATTATTTGTATAACTTTAATTGTTCATACATTTTCATTATTTTTTCAAAAAATACTTGTCAGCATGAGTTCTCATTTTTTCTTTCTTTATTTACTAACTGCGTCTTTCGATTAAAGTACGTCATTTGTTGAAACTGAAAGAGGATGGTAGCTTTTTCTTTCATTTTGACATTGTAGAATTCCATTTCATTATTCATTGTAACAGTTTTTTCATATAGTAACGTAAACAAGAGAATGTTGACAACCATAGTCAAAGAAATAACAACCATGCTGAGTAGCAACCAACAAAACGGATATTTCATTCATAATTGAAAGAAGAAAAACTCACTATCGTCAAGGTAGGCATTCGTTTATGTAGAATAGTATTAAGTATAGCTCTATGTCTATTTGGTGTTTTCATTAAAGACTTTACTTTTGAAATTGGATACATTAATATAATATAAAAGATTAGAGTATGAATGTAATTTCAATTATAGTTGTTGTACATGATATCGAATGCAGATAGTCATAATTGTAATATTGGATACACAAGGTGTCTCAAAAGTCATGATCAATTGATAAGAATAAATACAATAGAAACTTCATTAACACTATAGAAAAGGTAATATTTGTAGCTAATCTACAGAAATTAGAATTTTTTTTGATGTCAAATTTAAGAAAACCGATCTTGTTTTCAATATCTAGTCGAATTTCAATTGTTACTATTGATTATAGTTTATTAGTATCTTGAGAAAAGAAAGAGAGAGACTCAAATTTAATAACGAGATAACTTATGAAATGGTCTTCATGTACGGTATGGGTGTGGATGAAGAGAAGGTCACTAGCCTAATACACATCCACACCCATAATCACACCTACACCCACACCAATCCATCTTATTCATTACATATCATGGAATATTTTTATTTTTAACTCTTGTTCACTATTTTTATTTAAACAATTTGATGTACATGAACGAAATTATGAGTCAATGGATGCTAAATAGAATTTAAAACTCTAAAATGAACCATTATTTATTATTCGTTTTAACAAATGTCTTGGAAAAGAAACAGAAATGTTTTGTTTGCTTTTGAAATCTTATCAATTTCAAATACATGGTCTCTCTGGTTGCTCAAACAGATTATTATGTTGGAAAAAAAAATAGACAGCAATAATATTCACTCTATTGTGATTCTATTTTTTTCGATTCTTCTTTCTTCAACAACGATAATGCATTTGTTTCCTCAGTGTTCTTTGATGTGGACTTTTCTCACGAATACTTTTGCAATGTACGATTAGAAATCTTTCACTAGGAAACAAAGCATATTCTCATAGCAACCCAAGAAAAATAGGTATTAATAGAAAGAACAAAAAAAATCTTTGTGTCTCTCTAAGAAGACTAACGAAGTTCTTTACAACTCTTTCTTTCTTTCGTTCTCCTGTCACAAGAACGACCATTTGGATGTAGGCGAAGAATAGAATCCTGTGCTTGCAGCAAAATAGAACCGATACTCGATTTTTTCGATTTCTATAACTCAGAATCGAAAATTGTTTTAATAGTTACTAAGAAACTCTTCAAATCCAGTATCATTTTCAGTCAAAAATGTTCATGATCGCTATAGTGGTACATTGTGTAGTTTTTATACTGGTGTGGATGGAAAAGAATGTTGATTTTTTAAAATTTTGACATTCTAGTTTAACATAACATCATTGATAACAAATAATGATAATGATAAAAGCATTTTTTGGGAAATAAAGCTTGGAGATTTATATCCTTTTGCTTTTAGATACAACTCAATGTATTTATTATTGAATATGTTGATGATCTCAACTACATCAGAAAATCGGGTGAAATCTTCAATATTTGTAGAGCTTTTAATTTCTGATGTTTTGATAAAAGTGTTTATTTCGAAATTCTTTTTATTTTGTTGGAAATAGATTCAAAATATCATAAATGGTGAATCAAACTAAACAGCACTTTATCGAAATTTTGAAAAAGAAAAAAAGTCTTTTTTTTCAAAGTTTAGGGTTGTTCATTGTTTAAAATGTTCTGAATCTATTTCTAGTAAAATAAAAACTGTTCGGAGTTATATTTACTTGAAAAATGTCTAACATTATAAGCTCTATCAAACGTCGAAGAATAAATCATATGCTAAACTAGTTCAGATCTTTAACATATCTAATTATTACAAATACATTGAGTTATTCCTAGAGAATGATATGGATCTCTAAAGTTCACTTGTCAAAAGAGTTTTTTTTTCTATTACCTCTAATTCCACGGATTCACCCACAACTGAAATAAATAGAAAACTTATCGCGCAACTATCTTCCTTCTACGATCTGCTATGGAAGTGAAGAACAATCTGCTTCTACAACAACTACAAAGAAATTTAAAAATGAGCGACAGAGATCACTGTGTTCGTGGTACAGATGATCCTGAAGAAAATAAAGAAAATGAGGAAGTCAAATTTTGTTTTGGACTATTTATATTGATAGCTTCATACCTGCATACTGTATGAAAGTATTTTCCTTCTTGATCTTTTCATTTTTTTTAACTATTTGGAGAAGTAGTTTTTTTTCTAATGAAATAATAAACATGAACAATCTTAAAATTGAAAAATGAGAATGCGAAAAAAAAAGAAATCTATTACTCGATTGATATTATTGATATAATCGTAAAATTATCGGTTCCTAGAACAGATTTTAGGAAGCAAAGAAGGAACCGTTCTTTTTTTCGTTTTTTCTAATCACAACCAGCAATTTCAGTTCGATTCCGAGTAATTTTGAGAACGGTCGAATTCTAGCGAAGAACATGATACTCATATTATCTTTATTGAAGAATGCTATTGTCCATAATTCAGTTTTACTAATTTGTTAGCTTTTAGATAGAAGGATTATGTTAACAATTGTATTTCATCGAAGAAATATAAAAAAAAACATTACCATTCGAACGAATGTTTTTTCGTTACTATCACAAGCTTTGAAAAGTCACAGAATACTTTTTATTTCTAAAAGTTTTATGCTAAGGGCAAATAATAAAATTTTCAATATTCTCTTTCTATCGGTCATTTATTTTAATTGTTTATGTGATGAACAAATGAAATAATTCATTAGAAGAGAAAATACAATTCTAATAGATTCCAGGCACAGTCTATTTTAATCAATCTATTCTCGAAAAATTTATCGAAATCCATTATTTTTCAAATTACTCTAAATAACCAATTATATATCTAACCAATTTTCTTATGTGTTCCAATTAATCTATAATAAACGATTTTCTCACCAACAGTCGATTAGAAACCTAATTAATATTCATAGATTTTGAAAACAATCTATTATAATCCGACTTATTGCGAATAATATATTGAAATTTGTTTTCTTTCGAATAGCTCTAAGTAAGCAATTAGAAATCTAATCAGTATTAATATCTCATGTAAAAGAAAACCGCACAATAAATTAGAATAAAACTGATTATTCTCTGAAAAATCAAGAAGAATTGGTTATATGTGAAATGTCGGATTAAACTGAATAATTTAATCAATTATAAGTAATTTCTATAGACGTTGATTAATTAAAACCGATTCGTTTGGCAATAAGTTGAAATGACTATCAAAAAACCAATCGATCATAATAGATTCTATGAATAATCTATTAAAATCTGTTATTCAGTATATAATTGAAATAATCCGTGAAAAATCCAATCTATTTTGATCGATTCAATTTTTTATTAATTATTTAGACTATTAAGTAGAAAACAAATTTTAATAGATTATTCTTAGAATCTATTATAATCGATTGGATTTTTAATTGATTACCATTTGTAGAAATCACTTATAATTCATTAAATTATTCAACTTAATTCAACATTGGTATATATAATTTAATTTCTTGTGGCTTTGTTTTTTTTTGTTTTACATGTGTAAGTCAGAATGACACACCCAGTTTTCAGCATACTCTACGACGATCAATGTCTAAATTAGTCATCAAGATATGTTGTAAACTACTTTAATCCCATAAGAATTATTCGAACTTAGTATTTCTCTCATCATGAAATCGAAGTGTAAAAAATAAGACTCATCAGTTTTTTTATTCTAATTGATTTTAATTGATTTCCAATGTAATTGCGCCATTTCTCTTTGAAACAATTTATATAAAGGTTCTAATTTTATTATACTTGGATGACTTTGATTCAATGGTAATCGTATAATTTGTAAACACAAGCATTTCAGATAATCAAACAAAATTTTAGATTTCATGTTCGAATCTCGAGAAAATCACTTATCTTCAATATATAAAACTGTAATGGATTAAAAGGTAAGAGCAAATTATAATAGATTAATTGGTAAGGAACCGTGTAAATAAGACAAAATAAATTTACAATCATGTAAAACAATGCTCCTCCTTCCTTCGTCTTTTTCAAATTAACGCTAGGTAACATGTCTCTATGTCGGAAAAAAAGCACAAAAATAAAAGAACATTGATAGATGATAAAATAAACCAAGAAGCTTTCATTCTCTTTGATTAGCATTCTCATTCATTCATTTGTGATTTCAGATTAACATTCTTTAATATTTATTATCTATATTTACGTCACATACAATCAATCAATATGGGTTGCGGAGCATCCTCGCCAATGCCAATAGGCAATCTACCCAACGAACGTTCATCATTATTACCAACATCATCTACTACATTAAATCAACAATTAGATTTAAATCAAAATCCAAAACGAGATCGTAGTCGAATCGTAGTACCTTTAGATGAACTTGTTCAAAATTTTCTTCTTGTATGGTTGGATGAAAAATTCGATGAATCAGTAGATGATTATGGTCATTCAATCAAACAGCTACGACGTACCGTTAATAAGATTGAAACATTCTGCGAAACTGATGAATGCATCGAGTATATACTACAACTTCAAAACCAAAAAATACTTCTTATTATTTCTGGTGCACTATGTGAAACTGTTGTGCCACGCGTTCATAATATGACACAACTCTATTCAATTTATGTATTCTGTCAAAAAAAAGAAAAATATGAAGAATGGGCAAAAGACTGGCCCAAAGTGAAAGGTGTTTTCACTGAAATTATTCCAATTTGTGATGCAGTTCGACAATCTGCTCGACAATGTGACGAAGATTCTGTCCCAATCGGTTCTGAAATCGAACCCTCATTCATGTATACACAACTTTTCAAAGAAATTATTCTCACAATCGATTTTCATAAAACGAAAGAAGTGAAAGATTTAGTCGAATATGCCCGTAAACACCCGGACTATGTCGAAAATAATGAACAGTTGGAATTTATCAATAAATTTGGTGAAGAGTATGCTAACGATAATATAACCTTCAAAATTATTGATAAATTTGGTAACCGCCATCCTGGAACTGTCGATGACAAACCCATTTGGTGGTACACCCAGCAATGTTTTACGTACCAACTTGTCAACAAAGCTCTGCGCTCTCTAGACGTCAGTACTCTTCTAAAAATGGGTTTCTTCATTTGTGACGTTCACCATAATATCGAAAAACTTCATCTCGAACAATCTAATGGAACTCAGGCAGTTGCTTTACCAAGTACTGTCTATCGAGGTCAAATCATGAGAAAGGAAGATTTTCAAAACAAAATTAAACAAGATAAACTCATATCCTTTAACAATTTCTTATCAACAAGTGAGGATCGTATGATTGCAATGCGCTTTACTTCGTCTACTGACGATAATATGATCGCTGTACTATTCATCATAACAATTGATCAATCACATTCATCTTCACCATCATCAGCAGCAATCTTTGCTTCCGTCAGTGCCATTAGCGAGTATTCCAACGAAAAAGAGATTCTCTTCTCTACTCATACCATTTTTCGCGTCCAGAAAATCGAACCTAAGAAAGAAAACGGAAGAACATTACAGCAAGTACACCTAACGCTCACCAATGACAACGATGACCATCAGCTAAGTGATCTCACCAAACAATTACGAAAAGAGATTACTGGTACAGGATGGCAAAAAATGGGTTTATTGTTATGGAAACTCGGCGAGAATAATAAAGTCGAACAATTGTACAACATGTTACTCCAGGAGGTATCAAATGAAAGTGATAAATCCTACTGTTATCACTACCTTGGAATGATTAAGGATAATCTAGGACAATACAATGAGGCCATCGAATTTTATCAAAAATCTTTAGATATAAAAGAGAAAACTCTCCCTCCTAATGATCCCAACTTGGCTTCTACCTACAATAACATCGGTTTAGTGTATAGAAACATGGGCGAGTACTCGAAAGCACTTTCATATTACGAAAAAGACCTGGAGATCAGTCTGAAAGCTCTCCCTCCGAATCATCCCAACTTGGCTGCTTCCTACAACAACATCGGTATGGTGTATGATAACATGGGCGAGTACTCGAAAGCACTTTCATCGTATGAACGATCACTTGAAATCCAAAAAATAGCTCTCCCTCCGAATCATCCCGACTTGGCTTCTTCCTACAACAACATCGGTATGGTGTATTATAACACGGGCGAGTACTCGAAAGCACTTTCATCGTACGAACGATCACTTGAAATCAAAAAAATAGCTCTCCCTCCGAATCATCCCTCCTTAGCTGATACTTACGAAAACATTGGTCTCGTTCATGAAGACATGGGTGACTACACAAAATCACTATCGTTTCTACAAAGAGCATGTAATATACGTGAAAAGTCTCTTCCACCACAGCATCCTAAGATTACGAAGTCACAAAATAACATTGACAATGTAAAAAAGAAAATGTAATTGTTTTTTTTTAAACAAGAAAATAAATTGGCCTTCTCGAACACGTTTGGCTCGCCGAAGCGCACCAACTGCAACGAATTTCGCGCACGCGCGACCAGGGATACCCTCCATATTCTATTGGGTTGTACAGTGGACAAAGCCGGCAGTGATAAAGCAAACATACATTTATGTATACATAACTAGTACATCCATGATCATCATCTTCGGAAAGACGATGACGAGATGGATGCTTCTAGTCATACACACATAGATGTATGTTATGAAAGCCTACCATCTACACGCCTGTACAGGTTACCAACAGAACGTCGGATATCCCTGGGAAGGTTCATTTTGTTTTAGAGCCACCCTCAAAAGCTCCGTTTGATTTAAATTTTTTTTCTTCTGTTACGAAGAACGAGAAGAAAGACGACGTTGACGGAATTTTAATACGCAGCGTATAATGACAACCGGTTGTTTTGTCTCATGCTGTGATATTGAGTGCACGATATCTATGTCGTCTTTACACATGTTATGTTCAATTTATTTTTCTTTTCGTCTGGAATGTGTAAGAACAAATGACATGTCGTGCACTCAATATCATGCTATAAGAGTGATGACTGAACGAAAGAAGAACACAAAAAAAGAATTATCGACTATTCTCTTTGATTAGTAACATATACATATATAAGAGATAATTGAAAGAAGAAAGTGATAAAGAAATTTTTATAAATTTAATCATTTTGTTATGTATTACATCAGGTTTTACAAAAATATTATTTTATGATCATATTGATTGAATATAATATAGTAAAACAGAAGTTCAAATAGAACAAGTGCAGTAATTGATTTTTGTTAAATAATAATTTACAGTAAAAATTATTGATCTAACATAAAGATTTGTAGAATAGTTTTTCGTTCATCCATTGATGCAGGTGAATATTCAATCGATGTTAGACTTTTTCCGTCAATTATTCATTCATTTATTATGATTATCAAAAAATGTTTAAACTTATTTATTTAGCTTTAAAATAAATGATTTGAATATAAAATAAACAAAATGGATAAACTAAGTAAATCACTTGAAGTTTTAAAATTATTTTCAACAACAACATGTTATCGAAAGTTTTTTTTGCTCTAGAGATAAAGATGAAAATAATTTTAAATCAGTTACGACTATAAATGCTGTGAAACGCATTAATGCTGACCGGTTTAACGCGTTTCGCAACTGTTAAATCGGTTAAAAACGCCGCGAGACGATATACTTTTCGTTTTCATCCGAGAATTGTGGCTTCGAAACGCGTTTTGAGTAAGTGGAAAAAAGGGTTGTATACGTTTCTTATCATGGGAAACGCTGCGAACGCGTTAAATCGGTCAGCATTAACGCGTTTCGCAGTGAATATATCCTAACTTTTATCCCATGGGTTGTTAGTTTGGCGGTGAGAGCTTTCATTTGACGCCAAAATATCAAGTCTAGCTCGATTACAATACAAATACCTCCATTGTTAGAAGAGATAACTAAGGAGACATATTGATTATATCGAATAGATGTTGGAAATAGTTTATTTTTTAGGCAGAAATACAGAATCTGTCACAAAAACGCAAAATTTCTCCGAACGACAAAGTTTTGGTGAAAAATTTCTCCAACTGTAAAGTTCAATTAAAGACTCGTTGGGAAAGTTGTACATTGTTTCCCCAAGAGAAATAATATATATTCCAAAAAACTTTCCGCAAACGGCTGTAGGGTGTGTGCGTGAGTCTCGTTGTGATGTCGATACCCACACCCCACACCCATACCCATCCTATATTAAGTTTTTTTTTATGTTTTTGTTATCAAATACATCTTTATTCAATAATATACAGCAATAAGTGAAGAAAAACGAAAGAAATATAAGAAATCCAGTTTTTTTTTATTTAAACAGAGAAAAATAGTTTTATTATTATTAGTAACCAAAGTTTCCAAGTTTAACATCAAACACATACTTTTAATGCAAAAATTCAATAATGTATGGAACCAAGTTTATGATGTACATCAGAATATTTAAATTGAGCTAAGCTGACTTATATGATTTCAAATGAATTTAGATGATTTATCTCAGTTTATTCTTTACTTAATATAAATAGTCAACAACTTGATTTAATAGTACAAGACAAAATCTTCACTAAAATCCTTGATTTTGTTTTCATGTCATCAATTTATGATATGTCTTCATGCTGCTGACTATTCTAATCTTATAGTCAACTTAAAATTTTGAATTTCAATAAAAGAATCGTGTCATATTGGTTTAAAGGTAATGAATTCAAATATATCGATTTATGTTCGAAGATTGATATACGAAATATTATAAGAAAAAAAAAAAAAAAGATTATGCAATATTAAATTTTGTTTTTCCTGTTTAAATAATACTCTCTTCCAACATATTACTAAACAAATTATGGTTCTTGCTCACATCGGTAATGAAAACAAAATTAAACAATTAATTATATTTATCGTTCAAATTGATTATATCAGTTATGTGCCCACTGATATCTTACAGCACTGTAAGTTTATCATTTGTGTAACTATCAATGTTGTTTTTTTTAGTCCGTGTATTATGTCGATGAATAGCATCAAATTAATTAGAAATTCAATAAGGATTGGAAGTTGGAAAAAACAACACACACAGATTGTTCTTATAGTTGTTGCAGATAATTTTATAATCAATTATCACATATTGACGATTAATTTAGACGTCAGAATTTAAAAAAAGAACTGAATACAAAACTTGTATCCTAAGAATTTTCTCGGATATTATATAAGGCAACATCATTTTGAACTCATTTGTTTCTGGAATATCAAATTTTTATATAAAAAAAAAGAAATGATTTCGCCTTATATAATATCGAAGAAAATGATATTCGGATGTTTTCTTTTTCGATTGCTGTAAACTAGATAAATGTCAAGAATCATTTCTTGAAATATTTATCTTACAGTTCTATCTTCTTTTAACTCTAACACTAACCATGACCGAACGGACATCCACTTATGAAATAGGATGAAACGGAACAGTTTTTCATTTTTTCATTAATTTGGTGACACTTATTGATTTAAATTTAAAAACCAAATCAAAGATATAAAATTTTTTAAAATAATCACTTTAGTTGACTAAGATTTCCTTTTAGTCTTCATAAACTTGTGCTATTCAAATGAGTATAGTCATATGATTGAAAGAGATATATCCGGAGTTACTGATTCTTGATTTGTAAGATAGTCTTATTACTATGGGTAGTTGGCATATTCTACATTATTATGCAAAATGTCAGAGAGCTAAACTTGATAGCATAATATTCTCGGCAATAGAAGAGTATGATGCGTAGCAGTGTAATTTTAGATCACATTATGGTTATAACATTCTGCTCAGTACTATGTCGTCCTATTAAAATACTACATTTTTT